ATGTTTATATAGCTTTTTTTCCTCCTTTTTGGCTTCTGAATGACCTCCTAAAATATTGGTCTCGATTTTTTGGATACCCTGTATAATTATATATTTCAAATATTTATGTATGTATAGAATCTATTATAAATTTATATAAAAATTCTTTAAGTTTGTTTAATTTAACAAAATAACAATTATGGTTTTTATATTATTTTTGCATTTGTCAGTTGGTATGAAATAATTGACCATCGATATCAATGTGATTAAATAATTAAAAAAAGACTACACTGGAGGTAGTGCTTTATCAATTAGTTTCTTTTTTTATAACTTTTTATCTACGTATATAATTCTATAAGGGATTTGAATATGCATGCATATTGATTTTATAAAAAGAATTTTGTTCAAAAGTATATTAGCCATTTTAATTTTAAATGTTTTACTCTTTTATAAAATAAAGAATAATAAAATGTATTAATCGATAGTTTTACAAAAAAATTACTTTATATACGCATATGTATTAAAAAAACCGAATTTTGAACTACAACAAACTGCCGCATCTTCTTTATATATGTGCAAACAGTGCTAGAGAGAGAGAAAGAGAGTTATATTTAAACGAAATTTACATAAACGTATCTATTCGAAATCATTGGTATATTTGGAAGCATATGGAAATGAAAGTAGCGCAAAATAAATATAATTTTAATACTTATGTTAATTATTGATTCAAAAAATTAAATAATCAAGTTATTTTTTTTAATTTAATACAAAATTATCAAATTTTTTAAATATAAGTATTTTCATTAGATATATCTTACCAGTATATCATAAATTCTTGTTTCAAGATATAAATATTGAGTCTTAGTCTATTTATGTTCTTATAAAAATTTTGTATTAACCTAATCTCCACCAATGATATGATTTCATGTCCAACTGTGAATAATTGTATAGTTTCTAGATGCTATTTTTTGCAAATACATAACATATGCAATATGTTTCCTAATTATGTATCATAGTATTTGCTACATATTTTTATCATTCAACAGAAATTTTGTTTTTGTTAAATTGAAATAATTGAAATATGTGATGTGATAGCATATATACTGAAACCTCGTAATAGCGCGCGGTCGGAGATCTGAACGCTATAACGATTTGCCCCTATTTCACTCCAAAACAATGAAATTAAGATTTTAGGCTACTACTACTCCCCACTCATGTTACTTATAGCGTGGAAGGGATTTTTCGCGCTATTTCGAGATTCGCTATTATGAGGTTCCAGTGTATAATTATATAATGTTATTACTTAAGATATGCTAAAATCTATGACTCTCCGAATGCCTATTGCACTACCTTTATTATACAAAAAAACGCAAATATTAATTAGAATTATTACTTAGTAAGTTTAGAATGGCATCTACAAATAATATACGAGTCTTGTATTAATTTAATTTGCCTGTACTTGCCTGTTACTAATGTACAGCACAAAATATCTTTTAAATATGCACTATTATTATCATCATTTTACACGTCAACGTCTTGTTTGTAACAAGTGTATATATTTCTCTGGGAAGTAAAATAAACTGCTGTAAGAAACTAAAACTGAGACAAGACTGTTTGAAATTACAACTCATGTGCACATAACTTAATATTTAAATGCTTTGTCTTTTATATTTGATATAGCAATAGAAGCTCTTGAATATTTACAACAAATATTACATAATATTTGATATTATCTATTTATTATTTAAAAAGTTTAACTCGTTTCTTGTGTAGTATAAAAATTTTATATTTTTTGTTACTATTTACAAGGAACGACTTAGAAATAGAGGAGATTTTTTAAATAGTTCATCTACCTTTATTTTGAATAATTCACTTTGTATAGGTTCATTTAATTGACAAAGTGGATTCTTTACTACATATTCCAGATAGACCTAAAATAAAAAATTGCGATTGCACAGACATATATACACATGCACTTCTATTAAAAGAAAAAGGTATATGATCTTACTTCTCTGTACAATTGCTGCAACAATTCTCTGGCATTCTGACTTGCATTATCCGTATTCAAAACAAACTTGAGACCCGATGGCGTTTCGAAATAGTGAAGTGTATATTTGCTTGTCTTGTAATACAGAAACCCTTCCTTGGGATCCAATGGTGAGATTTTACTTACAAATGATTTTATGGAAAACAACATCCCATACATTAATTTTGCCTCCTAAATTGTAAATACATTTCTGATAATTTTGTATCATCAATACATGCAATATTATCTTTTACATTTGCATCTTTCGATCTTTCATAATTTGCTTTAAAAAAATTTAACAACAAATTAATCACTATATATTATAACGAGATTCCTTCATTAAAAAAAATTTTATTACATAGTCGATATAGCCTGTTTAATTCAAAGTGTATCTAAATTTTAATTTTTTAACTTTATCTACTTCTATATCGATTTTTTCTCAACTATCATCACAAAAGTATATAAATAGTGGGTTAATATGGAGTGTAAATGTAATATATAGCTCTGGCAAAAATATTTGGCATCTTATTAACCATTATTTAAAATTTTAGCATAAATTTATTTTTTGTTTTTACTATAAATTAGCCTTCGTTTCAAGATTCCTTTACACTTGTGTATAGTAACCAATAAATGCAGATAAGTATTGATACATAATATTTTTTGACCAAAGTTGATTAGTCCGTTAATTATCCGTAATGTATCGAGCTCGAATCCGTGTTTGCTAAGCCCAAATGACTGTGCAGGTCATTCCAAAAACTAATCTATTGCAACGTTGTTGACATACCAGATTAGTTCTTCTAATCGACATGCAACAACTGTATAAACAACTACATTACCTCCTCTTTTGTTATCCCCGACTTATTTAACCTGTTCCACTCAGCGTAATACAGCAATGTGCCGGTTTTTGAAAAAATGTACAAGTTGTGAATTGTCATAATGCTGGCACGTTGTCTCTTTCTTTCGTTTTACACCGTCGACTCTGCTAGTAGACCTTGCAATAATTGTTTTGACGTTTCCACGACGTCCTGCACAGCTGACTGTAAACTGTTCTGTGCATATTCGTCACCTGGTGTTGAAGCAATCAAACTTCGCGCACAGAAAAATCGTCGATAATACTGGATTATGCATTTATCTAGTTGTAATAATACAGATAGCATTAATCCAGCGCATAATAAAATATTTAAAGCAAAATATAAAAAATAAAAATATAAGAAAAATGTATGTTTAATTAAAAAATTTTACACAATTCTCAAGTAATATATAGATATTAATTACCGCTGTCTTAATTTGTACTTGTGTGTATTTTGCGAGGAATGACTGTTTTATGTAATATTTACACCACATAAATTCATATACATATAATGTATGTAACATATTATAATTTTTACACAATTTTTATACATAACATTTCCATTATTCATAATATAAATTTTATATAAAAATATATGAAAAAGAATTCTTTTGATCATACAATTCGCAAGTCATTCAACGTTATATAGATAGAAGAATCTTAAAGAATCCATAAAAGATCGTGCATCTTGATTGTTTCTATGACAACGAAATTAAAGAATTGATGATAAATAGATATTTTCATATCTCTCGCAATCGATCTTCGCTTATCTTCACACTTTTAGTCACATGTCGGAGCACACTTTGTCAGGGATAAATCAATAAATCAAAAACGACAAAATAGATTATTCAAAAATGTAAGCCAAAACTTTGCATAAATGCTCCTGTCGATTGTATTATCTGTTCCAGATCGTAAATGGCATGCCTGCGCGAAGTTCCCACTTTCGAAAAATTAGATTTCATCTCGAAGAAAAATCAATATGTCCTTCCGTAATGAAATTGATAGTAACAGACGATGTTCTAGTACTGGTTGTTGTGGTTAGTACGTATTGAATAATCACACATATAAGAACAATGATAGCAATTTTACGGTTCTGAAGTTAAAATAACCATATGTATATGTAATTAAATATTTTATTATCTTTTATTATCATTTTTCATTAATATTCATAAAATTTGATATTTATCATCATTTACAAAGAGGAATATTATAATAGCTTTCATTAATAGCCATTGTATAATACCAATTTAATTACATTTTACCGAATTATTTTATGAAGAATTATAATTTTTAATTATAAAAAGTCACCAGTCATTATAATTCCATGCATATAAAAGTATGTACGGAATAAATGTATATTATTCGAAAACGTGCAGCTTGCACAAGAAAAATACTCTTCAAAAAGATTTATTTTGTAACTGAATAAATATATTTCTTTTTGTAACAATAAAGTATTGAGATTCTAAAAATTCATTGAAAGTGTTTTTCTTCCTTCTTTTAATACCTCTTAATTCTCGTAACTCATATATGTCTCAAGAATGCAATGGCTTTTAGCTTGCATATTTTGATACAGGAAACAATTATGCATCAGGCGAAAGCAGTTATGAGGCGCGCATATCTTCGTGTAATTGCCAAAGTAACGTAGGATGTCTGAATCGCAGTGCTTGTGGTGGTTTGCGACCTACCGGAACCGCCGCGACGGGCGCATGTCCCGGACCGTGTCAGTGCGTCGAGGAGGAAATTTGGAATAGTAACGTGCCACCTAAATCGAATCACCGATGGTTGAATAATTTCGCTGAGCTTCGCCGTCAATGGAGTGACTACGGTCGTCAGCAGGCATACAAGTGCCGCTGCAGTCGACCATGGTAAATAACAAGGGTTTAGCAATATCGCGTGAATGAAATCGATGATACTGGTGTGACACGATGATGAAAAGAATAATAGTTCTGTATTATTAGGCTAGAACATTTTTTGTAACTATTTCGATAGTCTGTGTTAACGCTATCGATAGGTAAATTTTACGTACAAGTAAATGAGATCAAAGCACTGAACTTTAATGATCATTAGACGATCCAATCTGCGAAAAGCTAGGACAAACGAAGACAAACTTTTAAAAATTTTGATTGAATTACTCTTGGTAGTTAACCAAGTATTATAACAAAGTGTGATAAATGATTTTAACTTTTTTTAATGTAGCTCTTTATGTTATTATATATTTTATTTAAATTTTATAAGAAGATACATATGCACACATTGAACTACATATTGCATATTATAATTATTTCAAGATTGAATTTGACAGTGTGCTTATTTTTTTCCCTTTAATAAAAATCAAATTATTTATGCTTACAAAAATTTAGATTATAAATATTTTATTATAAAAAATGTGAAATGTATAAAAAATTTTATGTTACATTAATTAAACTTATTTCTTTATACGTAAAATTTACGTATCTATACACTGAAAAAAAAGATTGGCTGCTGCAGCAAATTAGATGGTAAAATATGGCATATAATTTTTAATTGGTTGTAGCAGTCAATTTTTGGTTGTATTAATCTATCGAAATCCTATACTGACATTGCAGATAGGCTAATGCAACCAAAAATTGGCTGCTGCAGCCAATTAAAAATGCTATGCCATATTTTACCATCTAATTTGCTGCAGCAGCCAATCTTTTTTTCAGTGTAGCAATATATTATTCAATAGCGATAGCTTTCTAGAGTTAAAGAACGTTGTAAAATTTAGTAGCCTTCGTTTCTGGTTGTTTTTGGTGCGTAAGAAAAATGTTGCTCGTGTACGACATCGCAATGTTTTAGGGTAAACTTATTGACCGTTTGTAGGAAAGTGGAGTTAGTGCTTATCTCTGTTTTCGTGAAAGCACTGTCCATTCGTAGTGTCGCCATTTCTTTCTTTTTTATATTTTTCTTTCTAGCGGGAAGAATTCTCGAATGAATATGAATGCTAAGAAAATATTTCCCTTCAAATAAGATATTGAAAGAATTATTGAATTTCCTTATTTTGCACCGCATTGCATTTTGTTCGCAGCAGAAATGTCGCTTCGTGCCGACCGTGTCTTTCACCAACAGCCCCGTGTTCCGGTACTATTTTACTTACGTCGGACTGTCAGGTACACACCAAGGTGGATTCTTCGTTGAGATACCCTTTAAAACGCGCTTGAGATTCCTTTGAGGTAGTAAGTTTTGCATGTTTTTACTGTGAGGAGAAATAGAAGTAAATGTCAGCTCGAAGAAAACAACAATTTACTTAATCCCGCCATTTATTCAGTATAAGATTACTTAATTTTTACTTAAAAAATTCTTATTAATATTAGTAATAAAAATAATATTAATATTAATAATATATATATATATATATAATTTTAGTATATATAATTTTATATTAATTAAACCTATTCCCTTATATGTTAAATTTACGTATTGATATATAATATCGTACATATATATTCTTTTAACCTGTAATAATAATTCTAATATTAATAATAACATCAATAATTATATTTCAGTAAAATATTAAAACATATCCATTTGAATTTAAATTTAAGTAGTCTCTATATAATTATGACTGATGGAATAGCAGGGTTAAGAAATGCAGAATGAACAATGCAAGGCGCGGATATGTTTCTGACATCCTGTGTACACTTTAATTAAATTTGATAGGAAGACTGCAAGGATTTAATTCAGGCGCGGTTGGTTCGCGTACTCGATTTATGTAAATTAGCATAGTATAGTTAGAAGTAGGCGAACGTTTCAAAGTTTCTTAATTATTCGGTAAAATCCGTAAAGTTGGCCAAACTAATTTGTATACAGACTTTAATGGCTTAGTAATTGGAACCTTTAAAATGTTAAACGGTTAAAATGCAACCTTAATTCAACTGCTGTAACTTTAATATGCACGGTCATTATGTCCATTACATTTATCATTACGTGATTTAAAAGGATATCATCGTGATTACGTTGCGATTTTTACAAACGAATAGCGTTTTAAGACGATGACTCCGGTAACTGCGGTTCGAGCGATAAGTCGTGCCTCGCTTTGTAACTGTCGTCAGATTCTTCTATCTTCGACAGAAATGCTGTGGGAGCCGTCGTTTAGCGGGTGGAGCAAGCAAATCGGAAATGGCACCGGCAGATAAATCGTCATCACCCGAACCTCTGAAACGGGAAGCAGGCGGTGGTTGCCCACCGCCAAGCTGTAGCTACCCATCGACCCGCTATAATTCTCCTAACGCGGATTGCTCATCGACCGCTTCGTCTTGCTGCTCTTCGCAATGCAGATATCCTTCGTCACGTCGGACATCCGATTGTCAGCCCTGTGCCCTGAAATCCATCTTAAAAAAGCGCAATTGTTGTCAATCTAACATGAGTAATTACTGCCTGTGCCAACCGATACCACGCAGCTGTAATTGCCCACTACCAATTCAGGTGGACGCACGTGCTACTCACGAGTGTTCCTGCGACTGTCCATTCAGCCCGGAATGCGCCTGTCCACCCAGCGAACGAAGATTCCCAAAAGCGACGATTAAATGTCCCAACGCGCGTCACTGCTGTCCAACTCCTCGATTACCACCCGGCCCCAAGTGTCATTGCCCGTGTCAACCGTGTCCGCCGCCACCCTGCAATCCATGCACATCCTTCAAGTGTCGACGACCCGTTTCAATCAAGGATTCTTGCCAACATGACTCATCATGTCCATGCTGTCCACCTTGCCGGCCAATTTCGACCACTTCGCCTTGTCGTCCTCCGACGCCTTGCAGAAAATTGACCTTCTGCACCGAGCGTAGTGATCGACTCTCTTCGCCCTGTACAGGTCAGTCTTGGCGTGGGATCACTGGCGATAAAAACTCGGAAAATAGCATCTGTAATGAACAAAATGACGATAAGAAACGAGAGACATATGATAAAAAAGATAGTGACTATTGCTACGCGACGAATCGCGCTGAATCAGAGGATGGGTCCAAATACGCTGATCAAAGTCGCGATTTAATATTGGACGAGGAATCTATACAAAATTCAACGTCAAAAACGTTTATTAATTTAACGGAGACCACAAATCCTTCAAAGTCTGTCGATCCTGACTCGTACGATGTGCCGGAGCAAAGAGACGAGATCGCTTTTGAAAATACAACAAAGACTTTTGAAGCATGTACCACTGAAAAATCTTCGAAGGATTCATGGTGCACTCCATGTACTCATGTTCCGTCCGACAGCGGTACAAAATCCGATTGTTGTGTATTCCGCGAGGAATATCCGACCGCTGGCGGAAACGTGCCTGGGAATCCTGTTTTGGCAAGATTATTGAGTCGCATGAAATCATTTAATCGGGTAAGAGATTTATTGGCGCCAAATAAAACGCTGCTTCGACATAGCGTTACTTTTCGCGACGTTCCGCGAGCACGTGTCAGATTGTTGGCGGATGCTTCAATAAGCAAAAGCAACCCGACAACCACACCGACACGTGGAATCGACAGACGACGCAGGAATGGTGGATCTTTGAAAGAAGATACTAGTAGCTTACCTCGAGAAAATTGAGTAATGCGATTGAACGCATTTTAAAACTGCGGTCTTCTACAATTCGCAACCGTTTAATCTTCCTATTTTAAAATAATCAGCGACAATAGGAAAGAGAAAGTTGTGAATAAAATTCCGAGAGAATATTTATCTGTAAGATATTTCTGCTGTTAATACAAGAAATTAATTATTAATACGTCTAAGAGACAGAAGAGAGTATATTTTAAATAAATTTAAACGCTTTAAAAAAATCGATGAATTAGTATATATATATATGGTATATATTTTAGCATATATCAGTAAACTCTCTTTTTCTACACAGATTCCTTGTTCAAAATGATAATATTTTACAAAAATACGTTAAAAATTATTTTAATGTTTTATACAAATATATTTAATGTCTAATATTTTATATTTTACATAAATTTACTTATGTGACACATAAAAAAATAGGATTAAATGTCGCTATAAAATTATCAGTTCTTTTAATTCCATCGATTTTAAATTAAACAACGTATACATTTAAAATCCACAAAAAATCAATTTGTATATAAGTGATCAAAAATTTTAAGAAACTTAGGAAATCTGTTTTGTTAATTTAATTATGTAATGCGTGAGAGACTGATATTTACTGTACCTTGTGTTGTAACCAAAGGACCAATGTGACACGTGGTGTGGTGCATCCAGTAGGTGTCAGCTGTACGTCGGAGGAAACATCGACAGCATACGTGCAAACAAACGAAAAGAAGAACATGAGTGCATGCTGTGATGTATTTTCTAATCTCGGTGGCATCGGCTATTCGACTCTTATACCGAGCCCGTTGGCACTAATATCCTTCGCTCTGCTGATTCTTATAGCTGTTACCTGGTCCTCCGGTTCAGCCTTTTATCGTCGTTACTTATTACGCAAGAGAATTTGTTGGAAATATCTGAGCTTATAATTACACAATGTATCCTTATACGTCTAATTAAACGAGACGAAATGATATAAATAAAAAATTTTAATTTTCTCTAATAATAAATACAAATTTTAATTTTAATGAAAATGCAAGTAGATATGTAAGTATACACTTGTATTGAAAATTTGCAATCAAAGTTAGCATGAAATATAAACTTGATCAATAGCCTGTAAGCTACGCTTTGTTATATCAAATATAAACCTCGTGGTACAATAAAAATACTCGTAAATTGTAAAACAATGTATAACGATAAATAAATGATTTATCAACGAACCTACCAAACCACGTAGAAGAGAATATTAATTTCTTTATTTTATTGTATAATATTTTTTTGCGATTTAAATCTATAAAATACGTACAATTGTTTATTAAATAACGAGAATGTATATAGCGATTACTTTGCGGGAATTTTTTTAATATACGCGGTACATAACACTTTAGCCTTCCCCATCACATCGGGAGTGACATGGCGAATGACGTTCGCGCTTTCTATCAGTCGGCGAAATGACGAGCCGGAGAGCGTTTCCGTTCACGTTTTTGACGGTGTTGGTGTTCTGTGCCACATTCCGACGAGGTGCTCCCGCTGTCGCCGGAACCATCGAAAATAAGAGTGTCACTGAGAAAGCGCAACCAGAGGGTTGCATTGAGTGCGGATATTACAGGTACACACGGTCGCAGTTAAAGTTGAATATAATTAAAGACTGTAGCATATGGTACTATTAGAATATTAAGAATATTAGAGTTTTAATTTTCCTGTGCATTTTTTTTTTAATTTGTATTATAAAAATTATAATTTAAGACGAAAAGTAATACTTTTCTCAAAATATAACTCTAAAAAATACTACTTTTCTTCCTATAAATTATAATTATAATACTCTACTTATAAATTAGAAAAATAAAAATAAAAATTCGATAAACTGCCGTAAATCAATATTAAAATTTCTTTTCATTCATTGTACATAAATAGATGTCCAGAGAATCCTGGAAAATGCTTGTTGGGCTCGGTTCCTGATCCTTGTGAATGTTGTCCGGAGACTGGTTTGTGTGCCCGTCTCCTTGGTGAACCATGTTGGAATGCGAGCATTCCACTTTTATCTCCAAAAAGCCGTAATGATGGATACTGCGCAAGAAATTATCTATGCGAGTTGCGCTCCGATCTACAAGAAAAGGTACAAAAATGCAGTACGTTTTTACAAGCGTTAAATGAGATCTTTAAACGCACGATTAATTTTACTTCAATATCTAACGCGAGAGATAAAGCTTAATATCTTGCGAAATCGTTTTTCTCAATATCGTGAGGAATGTGTATGTTGTCTTGCATCTCTGAAATTTTCAATTTAGTTGTGTAAGCGAATTTCTAGAGTTTATTCGCTTGTTCCACTACATTCAAACATAACTGTTTGTGTTACTGATTGAGTTATCCTATTTTCGAAAAGGACTCGGTACATACCTATGTTGTCACATGCTCGACAATTGATAGATTACATGTTTGGATCGTGTACTTTTTCAGGTGTAACAATTGGCTCTCGTTCGATCTCGTACGATTTCGCACAGTTTCGTAATGGCCGTCTAACAACCTTTATGATATTGTCGCTGATTTAATATAATCGTGCGTATAGATAGTCCGAAAGTCAATTTAAAGACAAAGACGTCACGACATTATACAACATTTTTTTTATTAGAAATATTATTTGTTAAAATCTCTATTTTCCTTCAATAAATTTTATAATATGAATACATATAATTTAAACGCCATATATCGCTTCTACGTAATAGATTCTTTTAAAAAGTAGATTCTTTTCAAGAGCATTCGTTGAGCATTCGCGAAGCTAAGAGCACGAATCACATGGGATATTTATTACCTCTGTAAGTGATAAATTCACTTTCCCAATTAAGACCTAAGGAGACCACGTTCTAGATCACTCGGTCTCAATGAGCGCGGTAATGAGATATCCCGCTTTCTGGGTTAGTTTGACATAAAAGTGGGAATCATTGCGCAAACGATATCTAATGCAGTCTCGCGTATATCATCTACCCACTGTGCTATGCTGTCAGTCAGATCTAAGCTTCAAGATTGCAGTCACCGGCGACTTACGGTCGCTGACCCGCTCCGATGGCCTTTTCGCATCTAATTTTGTCTTATCGTGCACCGTGGGTCGTGATCGCATTGTGAGAATATATGCTCACACACGTCATGCAATCAAACAATCAGGCAGACCGTTTATGATAGACACGGGTTGGATAAGAATACTTTTCGCTATATAGTCTTAAGGGGTAGGAGCCGTATTAATAGCTATAGATCTTTCAAAGTTCGTTCCGGGTGACTGCATAAATACTAATTCTTTACATCAACCATTTAATTACATTAAATTACTTTAAACTGTTTAAACAAACATTAATAATTCTTCTTGAGCGAATTATCTATGAAGACAATTCGCGTCAAGTGTTATGTTTGTACCAGTTCTGTAGAAATTCTCAGGATATAGCGAAGACGTGCTAGCGCACAAAGTGTACCACATTACCAACTTTAAACGATTTAACTTCTCCATAGTAAAATGTAGGACAATTGTTTTGTCTCTGAATATTAGATGATAGTCATTTTGTCTGCGAAATGGAAAAAACAGTAGCAATAAGAAAATGACAGTAGTAACATCTTTATACAGAAAAAACATGCGTAAAATTAATAGAAACAAATAGATTTAATTTCTATGCAGGATGCTCCGGAAGCAGCTTGCGTCTGTATGGAACAAAGCCCAGCCTGCGGTAGCAATAACGAGACTTACTCGACGCCATGCGCGTTGCACGAAGAGGCGATGAAACTCAGGAACTCATCTTCCTTGAGATTGCAGCATCTCGGTCCTTGTGAAAGTAGACCTTGGATTCTGTCAACTTTGGAAGATGTTGTCTCACCCTTTGGTCAACGCGTCGCACTTAATTGTGAGGCAAAGGGCTTCCCAGTGCCGGATATTTTTTGGGAATTTCATTCAGCTGATGGGAGAAGAGTATTGAAATTGCCGGGTAATGTAATACACAATATTAATGTTACAATAAAATATTTCACAAAATATTTTTGCGATACATCAACTGAAAGACTATAAATATGATATATATGCAAGTACATATATAGTGTATATAGTAATTCAAGATTGAATTATTTAAGCATTAAAAATCCAGCTTCGACCATTATAGGCATTTTAATTTCTAGTATTGATTGTGTTCTCACATACGGCGGTCTAAAATAAAGATTCTTAATATTATTTACACATCAACTGAAATAAAATATAAATTAATTAAATTGTTCTAAATATAACTGTGGATATAATGTCGAACGAATAAAATTAAAAATTCATCTGGCACAATAGTATTCAATAACATTTAAACCTCTATCCATCGATTTTTTAATCCTGAATTGTAGAGGTAGATAAATTTAAATCTGTAAAAAGTAAGTGAAATAAAATCCGATTTTTATGATGGTAAAAACGCGTTGTTAAAGCTTTGACAATATATTACATTTTTTTACATTTTCACATAGTCCGGAGCTATAAAACAATTACTCTGTTTCTCAAAGACTTCTATTGCTGACAGAAAAAAGTTAAAATTCCATGGATTAAATTTGCTTAAGACTTAAGGCCCGTCTACAATACAATAGTAAGCTTGGTTTAAGAAATAAGAATAAGAAATAAAATTAATTTATTTCGCTTATGCCGACATCTACACCTATTCTAAACTCTTATGGCCCGTCTACAATACATATAGTAAGTTTGGTTTAAGAAGTAAGAGTAAGAAATTGACCAATCACAGTCGATTATTCTTCTTACAATCGACTGTGGTTGGTCAATTTCTTACTCTTACTTCTTAAACCAAGCTTATTCACATATTGTAGAAGGGCCTTTACACCAACTCTTATTTCTTAAACCAAGCTTACTACGTGTATTATAGCCTATAGGCGTAAGCGAAATAAATTAATTTTATTTCTTACTCTTACTTCTTAAACCAAGCTTACTACGTGTATTGTAGACAGGCTTTTACTTTATTTGTGTTGCTATGTATAATTATATAAATATAGCTTATTACAGAATTTAATAATCTGTAGTTTTATTTATAGGAGAGGAGCATCAAGCGACCATAAACACAAGCGATGGTCCAGAACCACTCATGCGAACATCTTGGATGCAATTGGCTCGGCTAGATGAAGAACATATGGGGATGTATTATTGTATTGCTAACAATTCTATAGGCGAAGCAAGCACGTCTTCAGTCGTGTCCATGTTGTGAATGTGCTTTTATCTTGTGAGACAATCTGTCGTGTAACTGTTGTGTTCACAAATATAATGCAAAAAGGGAAATAAGTTAACAAATATGTTGAAAAATTTATTTTTTAACAAACAAACGCATAAAGAAATCTTCGCACAAATGATTCTAAGACCAAGTAGACTTCATAAACATATATGAATGGCAGTTGGCTTTTAGAAATTTGTTTGCAATAAGTTGGATACAAGTAAAACTTATTTTGTACGATTTATACTTTAAGCTTCATCAATGTTTTTGCTAATATTAAATCCTAATGCTATATTAATTTCTTTCTGAGTCTGCCTGCAACGCGAGGTCATCGTCCTTCGCCCTCGTTTGTTACCAATTGCTTTGTGGCGGCGGCGGTGGACTAAAATATAATTGCAGTTATAAACAAAATTTTACAGACATAATTTTAATGAAACATTTTATACACGCTTGTAATATTATATTGTAATAATCTAAATATAAAGTAAAAAAGTAACAAAGTAAAAAAGTAAAAAATTAACTTTACTTACTCTGGCATCTGCCACGTTCTGTCGTCATCCGTGTTGAGACTTTCTCTGAGAAAAAACGATATACATTTTTTTGCTTTTTTATCATTTATGTTTTCTTTCTTTTAGATTTGTCAATTAATTGAGAATACTAACGCTCTTGTTGACAGTAGGGTAGCATCTTCTACAAAACTAGATGATTTCTTGTATACTAGTGACAAAATATGAGCTGTTGGTGTGCTAATTATCATAACAATTGCGCCTATCAACGTAGCAAGCCAGAAACCGTCCTAAAAGTATAGATTATATATAAGAAATTTTATTAAAAATGAAATTTTAATTGTTTTTTTTAATTTAATTTTTATGCTATCACACATTGAATACATTTGTGTTTTTTCTTGTTTTTCTCACTATAATGAAATTATTTAATATTTAACTGATATATTTAATCATACATTCTAAATTATACATACAAAAGGGCTTAAAATGTGAGCACATAGTAAATATCTTAATCCTTCTAAAACGTCCCACAAGGGTCGACATTTGGATATTTCCGTATTCATTTCAGAGAATACGTGAGTTCGCCATTGATCTAGATAATTCGATAGTCGGTCCACATACGACTTTATTTTCTGCACATACGATTATTGAACAATGAATTTTAATATTTATAATACTTTCTGCCTCATGAATAGAATATATATATTTTTTTAAATAATTTGCAAAGAAGAAATTTTGAATATTACTAATTGAGCAATCTTCTCTCCCTGATGATCTATGTAATATTGTATCGTCCTTAGATGCGAGATTGATTGATTGACTTGACGCCAAAGAGGTTGCACCTGCAATTCTAGAACTGCAAGACGATAGATCAGATCGTCCTGTAACTTCATTAGCGGTTTCACTTGTCGCAATGTCAGATCCCGCATTGTTATTCCAATGCTTTGCAGTTCCCTGGCAATACTTCGATCTTGCAGCTGACGGGATATATTGTCCAGTTGATCCGACAATGTACTTATATCTTTACTCAGAATCGGACCTTGAATCTGTGAGCCGATAAAAAATAGCAGTTGTGATTATCGGGAAATAAAAAAGATGATTTCCTGGAAAGAGAGAGAGAGAGTACGGAAAAAAGGTGATAAAGTGAGTCCTTATTTTTTTATATCTTTTTTTTATTTTATTCAAGTCAGTGATATCGCAAATAATAATTTATTATTCTAAGTTTAATATAAAACGTATGAAATGATTAACACAATTCACAAAATGGAAAAAATTATTTAAATGAAAAGCGATGTTATGATGTGATTATTTGAATGTGACGATGAAGTGCTCTTCCTTCCGATATTTTTACAAAATTTGTTTTTTTTCATGTTTTTTTTATTTCCCATGAAGTTTAAATAGATACATTCTTGAATATATAGAACATTCTTAATGTATTGAGATATTATTAAGTTCAGAAATTTCTTTTCATGAATATATTCTCCTAATATTTTTGCGTTAATCCTATCCTCGTAAATATTCATTATGAACACTTCTCCCTAACTTTGCAAAAGTTCTCTAGGAATTGTTTAAAATGATGATCACCAAGATTTTTTTACGGAAAATAATGTTCTGCAACATTTTTCGTTAAAAACTCACATTACCAATTTAAGGAGTTCAATACAAAAACACTGACAAATTTACATTTAATTACGTCCTCGCGAAAATATAGTTATTCTAAATTTACTTATCTCCTCCAAATAGAGGAATATAGCAATTTAAAAGTTAATTTAGAACATAAACTTGTTACTTACAAATTTCATCATGTTAAACTTGATATTAAACTTGACTCATTACTTATGAACTAAATCATATTAAACATAATATTAAAATCATATAAAAAAAAACTTTAATATACTTTGTAATAGATAAATATTAATTGTCAATAAAAAGATCGCGCCAGTCATGACAGCAACTGTTTTTATATTTATCTCTAAAAACAAGTTAAAAGCTTTTGCAAAAAATGATATTAATTATTACAATATACAAAAAAATTATTAAAAAAAATTATTACAAAAAAATTGTACATGGAGTCAACATTATCAGGGGTCCATATTATCAACTTTTCCTGTAATCTTTTTTGCAGAATTTTGCTACATAAAATATCATTGTAAAAAATGGAAAAGCGTGTTAATTACATAAATAATTTTCCATATAGAGATTATAAAATATTAAAATAAATGTATATACATGTACGTTATTATACTTAATAAATTGGTATAGTTATGCATAGCTAAATAGACTTTAATTAGTAGTGGCTTTACACCATAATCATGGAAACAACTCGTTGTGAAATCCTTGTCGTTTATCATAGTATCCATCTAGCACTACGTAGTGATGCAGCTGCGCAATTTGTTACTTCCCTTTAATGCCAGTAGATTTTTCTTTCGAAAAAATTCTTCAAAGCCAAAGTAATCTGAAGGCTTTAATCAAGTTGTTAAAATCTAAAAACCTTCATTTTTATTTTAAAATACAAAATCTTTGCTTTCACTTGGAAGAATATAAAAATAAAAAGTTAGAGTATATTAACGAGAGTGACAAATAAACGTGCTTATAAATGAATCGTAATAAGTACCATAATTCTATGCGCGGTGAGGTTCAAACCACAGGCGTATAAGAGATCCTGAAGACGTTGTCGTAAATTTGGCGTTAATATTTGTAGGCCTTTCAAATCGACTTTAACATTTGAGATTGCTCTAGACAGGCCTGGCCATGCCCAATGTGCAGTCAAATATTCCAGTTTCATCGCGTTTTCCAACCCTAAGGCGGGATAAGCTGCTTCATTGTTTCGACATTTTCTGCAAATAAACATTGCTGCTGAAAACCGTAACACGCATTGTAACCGGTCGTTGTGTCTACATGTTATAACCTGAGGGGATGTAATAAAAAATATAAGTATAATAATTTACACTGCAGTGTACAGTTAAACTACATAAAAATAAATGTTATTAAACTCAACGATACGGTGTTTTCGTTAAAATATCTAAAACATTATTTTTCTAATCATAAAAAATGTATTTTTATTAGAAATATGATTGACATGGATTTTAAAAAAATATATGTTTTTTAATCGATAACTCTCTCTTGTAACAGTATCCAGTTTGTAATTTCCAGCGTCTACAATATTTAAGATCGAATATCATGAAGCTTTATTAGATTAATTAAAAACTTACTCAAAGAGCTCCTTGAGAGGAAATGCGAGCCTTCTTCCTAAAAACATTCGAGTTTCCAGCACAACTTCCATAGTATGATAGTTAGGATCGTATAGCGGTCGACATATCAACATTTCTGTATGACTAGCGATACCCAAAGCGATGATGAACACTGTCCATAGTGTAATCGAGACGAAACAGCTTGTAACTACACCACTGAAATCCGATCGGCATAATCAATCTGACGATCTGTCTTATTAGATCTATACGATAGCCATTAAAATGATTAAATCAAATTCTCTGTTATCAGAGCTTAGTAAATGATAATTTACCATAATGTAAATATTTATTCATATTGCAATATTGCCTGTTTTACATATGAAATGATTTTAACAACATATTTTATATTAGTGATTGTTTTCCGGTTTATTTGGAAACATATATAATATGGATATGGATTTAACCATAATTTTCTGAAAAGAGTAAGTAGAAACTAAATAAATATTAAATGTAAATAAATACGTTAGGTAGCACTTTGAATAGTTTGTAATACTTCTAAAAAAATGAAGTAATTAATATAGCTCTTTTTTATTGTAGATTCTCGATGGACTTGCATATTTAAAGATTCGTAAAAAATAATTATTAAAAAAGAAAGAAAACATGTTAAACAATAACTATATAAAATAATATTGTACAATAATTCACATTTTTCCGTCATTGGAGAGATGATAAGATACAAAACTCTGGATAGGTAAGATTAATTGATAGAATAGAATTATAATATATTCATGTAGAAATATATGTATATTTTATAAAAATTATTATTTAATAAAAATATGAAACTTATGTTATCATATCTCTCTCATTTTGCATATTATTTTTCATATTATAATATTATATAAAAGCAATATCATCGTATCAAAAATATCATTAATAGTAGTACAAATACGCTATAGAATTAATGTGTCATAAAGTTGCCTTTAATTCAAAAACAAATGATACTGAAACAATAATGATGTAATATAATAAAAAATGTGAATATAATTGCTTACAAAATAAATGTACATAAAATGAATAAAATTGTTTTGAGCAATATTATAGCCTATTATAAACTTGACGTAATATTTATTAGCTCGCTCTTTTGTCGAATAGATAAAATAATTTAAAAAAGATAAGAACTTATTATAAATATATAATATATAAATTACTACGTCAAGCTTGTAATATACATATAACTTAATAAAATATGTACACTTAAGAAATAATTAATTTAAATTTAAATTAATTTTTATTTCTAAATAGTATATTTAAAAAAAATAATTTACAATATTTATATATTAGATATGTATAATATAATAATTAAGAATAGTTCATTATCGCTAAGTGTCCATGATAATTTTACATAAAAAAGAAAAAAATTATTATTATAATGCATATATACATATATCTATATATATATATAAATAAGCAGAAAATGGAACTTTTTAAAAATAACTAGTCAACACCATTATTCGTTAACCGAATCGAAATAGTAACTGGTACCGTTACTTATAGTTATTGATTTGCAAAAGTAACTCGATATCGTTACATAAAAAATAACAGTTTGTTACTTTTCCGTTACTTTTTTTAATGCTGAAATAAGATCAGTCTAAAAAATTTTGCAATACTTTTTGTTCAATTATTAATGAAAGCAATAAACAATATTAACATTAGATTAGATATTAGACCGATATGTAGAAACATAACTAAGAAGCGAAATGACTTTTCGGTTCAAGCTAAAGCTTTACATACATACTAATAACATACATAATACTATTTCAGAGTAATTTTATGTAGGTATATATATATATATATATAGTTCTACAAACCATGCGCCGATTAAATTTTCGGTCTGACTACACAATTCGATTAACAAGTGATCTTTTTACAATAAATTTTATAGAACATGGTATCACTTCCATTAAACTTAAAGATTGGTATTCATAAAGTTTATTCTTATATTAATACAGCTCTGTGAGTGATTATTACGGCACTCTTAAGAGATGTCAAACTAATCATATTATAGAGTCGTATTAGTATCTCAAAACATTACTTAAAATGATCTTGAAGAAAGAACGAAACATGAATACTGACCCAGCTAAAAAAAAATTGATACAGGACGATTGAGAATGATAGGATTTCTATATGTATGATATTTCATAAGCTGTATCGTTAATGTTCGTCAGCATCAGATATGAATCCTATCATATTTTTTCTATAAGACTTGTATTTTGTATAGAAAACAAATGACAAGAATTCTATCACTATCTAACGTACTCTATCCATTGTATTTAATGCCATAAAATCTTACCTAATATAATGCAATAAAAGAGATGCCACGGAAAATGTAACAGGACTTTCTGCTTCTACTATGATTTATACGAGTTACATAAAGCTTACCACAAAAGAGTTGGACGCACTTTATTTTCGGATGATCCGCAGCGACAGCACAAAGCTCCAATCAGTAACGAAAGAATTGGTAAAATACACAGAGCACTGGCTGCACATATTAAAAGTAATCAGAACATGCGTTATATGTATTTTATTAGCCACTTATTCTTATAAATACGCCTAATATACATATGTTTCGTGTTTTATTATATCGATGTTTTACTGTTTTTTTATTTAATAATTACTTATTGTATGTAAACCGTTACTTTTATTTTTTATATGTATTTTATCGCATACATTATCCTAAATTTTATTTAAAACGCAATGCATACATATATAAGTCTCATTTTTGCTTAAAATAACAAAATTATTAAAAATTTTCTCCAAGAGCTGTAAAAGAAATCTGTGTATGTAAAAAATGTAACGTTATACTACACTGTATGTAACTTCAGATTATTGAGTTATTTTCGTACATGCGTTACTCACTTGGAAATGCTTTATATATGATCTCTACAATCATTTTTCAAATATTATTGTGGTGAATAAATAGGAAAATATTCAATGCGATCTCTCTTGAAAAATTTTATATACCTGTTCCAATGATCCATCTGATATGTTCGAAAGCGATAACATGAGGTACAACGTAATCCGTGATGTTCCTTACAGAGTCTATAAGCTGCTTTGAGAGTTCAAAACTGTTCTCTACAGTGCGTGTTTGATCGACAATCCTGGCACGTGCTGCATTGATCTCGCGTCGAATCTCTACAAAATATTAAATTTTGGAATATAAAATATTTTATAATTTTTTAAATATAAAATATTTCATTTTTCGCTGTTTTGTATACGAGAATGTATATCAGTGTCTTTGTAAAAAAAAGATATTCAAAATATATTCAAAAATATACCTATACAGCACACTAATGTTGAATCAATATCTCAGAAACGTTGAATTGCAACATTGAGAACATTGCAACAACATCGCGAAATGTAGATTCAATGTTGAAGAGACGTTACAGAAACATCTAATATCCGTATTGAATTGCAATGTCTGTGAGACGTAAAATATTTTTCGCATATTAATTAATTTAGTTTTATTATTAAAATAAGTATTATCGATTAACATCATATTCCGGAACACACACGACAAAATTATAATTGAAAAAAGAACGCTTTCCCCTTCATTTGGGAATTAATTTCCTTATTTTCCTAAGCAGTCCATCCATCCAATCTTGTATCCCATCCAACAGTGCTGAATCTCTGCAATTGCAATCGTACGGGAATTGCCGCTTCGATGATCCACGAACATTGAACGTTAGTGGATACATAACCGACATATAGATACGTAGAAAGACCACGACTCAACGTCGTGCATCGGACCGGTCAAACACAAACAATACCACACGCGCGAGCATTCTGTACGTGCGGTGATTCCCGCGTAAATATATATCGTTTAAAAATGAGTTTTGTTAAAGGATCAATTTAAGTGATTTAAATTTTCTATTTACATGATATTTTATTATTGTTCATTTTTTACAAAATAAAATAGATTTTGATATATGTATAATTTATTCAACGTCGTTTTAACGTTGCAGCAACATTAATAATCAATGTGGAAAATCAATAAAGATTCAATTTGTGGTTCAATTTGTGGTTCAATATTGTTTCAACGTTGCAGCAGCATTAACAATCAATGTAGAAGAATCAATATAGATACAACATTGCTAAAACATTGACTCTTCAAAATTCAACATTGCAACATCTCAGCAACATTCGTTCAACGTTCTGTGCTGTATGGGATATTAATGCGTTGAATTTTGATAATATAATCCTTAATATATTAGAAACAAATATCATTAATCTTTTAATCAAAGATAAAATATCATCAATTTTATCTCAGTGACAAATTAGACATAGTTCGTGGTATTTGTCGAAGTTATTTGTGGAATTAGCATAATTACCTCGCAAAATAACAAGATTCTCAGGATAATTCCATATTATTTTCATAATATTTTACTGTTCCGAAGACAAAGTTTCTCAAGTAATAATTTTCACTCTAACTGACTGGTAATATTATTAACACAATAGGAAGTGGATATTGAAAAATACAATTGTAATACCTTGCTCTTTCTATAAAGAAGTACGAGTTGCTACACGTCAATTCTATACGAAATTCTACGAGTTATTCGAAAGTTTATCTTGTACTAACACATAGAATACATTATTCCAATGCTAAACTTTCGTCATAATAATCCGGAGTCTTCATCGCGTGCAGAAAGTGCTTGGTAACAACCTTCAATCGACAGACGTTGAACTTGTTCGACTTTATCGTCCCGGCAATACGATGAACCTTTACAAATTTTTTGCAACTTTTCTTTTCGCGTAGTAATATTAATGCGATATGGATTTCGCATTAGATGCCGACCGTCACCACTCTATCGGATCTGTCTACCGATGGATAGCGGCGGGCGACAAGCATTATTGGTCGATGGCGAGTTGAGAGAAGTCGACAGGAGTACAAGTCCGCGTCGCTTCGGTTCATCGACATTCCAGCGCTGTAGCATCCATCATCCCTCGTTCCTTCGGGAATCTTCTCAATTTTCTTTATTAATAATTTCTTTGGCATCCTTACGCTTTATTAATCGAAAAAGCAATGTTCATCATCCTACAACACGGATTTTGTACGATGCGCTTATATGTATGTTATTACTTGCGACTATTTACCATAATGATATAAATTTGCTGTTGAATATACAATATATATGTATGTATAATTATTGCATTTAATTCATCTCAGATATTTAATTAGGAAAAATGACAATTTGTAATACTGCCATCAGACAGTTGCGTGCTAGTGAAAACCAATTATGAATGAAAAGAAAGATAAAAGAATATAGAATTTGAGAGAAAAAGATAAACAAATTTTATAAACGTATTTGCATCATTTATGGAAATTTGGTAAATCTTGACAAAAGGGGACTCAGCTCTGATGATTTTGACCTTGACATATATTATCGAGATCATAATCCTGAGTAACCTTGTACAAATTTTAGCCACTGCTCGCTGTTCGTTAAAAAGTTATTAATAGTCAAAATTAATAATTATTTCTCTGCTTATTATATGAAGATTCAGATGAGCTTAAGCAGGGAAATATAAGATATTGAAAAATGAAACATTATTATCTTACAGATTAATTATTTATTGGATATAATTTACTCATTATTTCTGAATGATTCACTACTTTATGTATGTAATGTGAGGGTTGTGCGTCCCTTTGCAGGGGGGGATGAGAGTCGGGGGTGAGAGTCGTGCGCCCCTTTGCAGGGGGGGAGGGAGGGTGAAAGTCGCTTCGTGTTGAAAGTCAAAACCTATGTAAAATAATATTTAACATTGCATGTATAGCAGAAATAATACGTTATTTTTCAAACTTTTTTGTTAATAACTTTTTAATGAAGGACGACCGCGGGCTAAAACCATCTGAAGATCATTAAGGGTCATGATCTTGATAACATATGTCAAGGTTAAGGTCATCCGAGCTAGGTCCCCTTTTGTCAAGATTTACCGGAAATTCTTTTAAACTATTTTAATTTTATTTTAATTTTTCTTTTTCTTATCTTTTAAATTTTGTTTAAAAATTATGTGAAATACTTTTATTTTCAATATTTTACTAGTAAAAACAACAGACTGATAAATAAAATCGTATGTGCGCATATACATATATTTATAATAGGAACGTAATTTTTATTTATAAATTCTTTAAGCTTATTTCATTTACGTTGCAAAGTAGGTACACATATGATCGTCATCTAATAAAACAGTGAAATAGGTCCGTGATACTGTCCGACATGACAGGCCATCAACGCGTGATTCTCTTAGCATCAATCACCAATCCTATCGCGAAAGTTTATATGGGCGTCTTGGGAAAGATGTATAACATGATCGCAGGGTTCACGAAGATGTTTGCTCAAAGCATTTACCGCATTTCGTTTGTCTATTAAGGATAAAGTCTCCTGACTCTCCCTTTTCCACTGTAAGATCTCGTGCTCATCGCACTCTGGGGCAGAAATGCTGACACGAATTCCCTTCGGTCCGTGACGAAATATCGTTTATATAGTACGTGGAAAAAGAACAGGAAAAGTGTGCAAAAACTGCTATTGAGAAACGCGACGTTCCGCACTTAATCTAAAAAACAGGAGAGAATATAGAAGGTAGGAGAGCATTTAATAAGATGAATTCATGTATAATAAATTGATATAAGCTTTTTTTGTTAGGCTAAAATGTTTCTACTTAAGTTTAATTCGAGAAAAATGCAACTTATCACTTCCTTACTTTAAAACTGATACAACTAAAAAATTGTAATTTTCGAGTTACTGTGTGTGTGTGTGTGTGTGTGTGTGTGTGTGTGAATGAATTAGATAAACATTACACCAATTATCAATTATCAATTATCGAAAGGGAACTAATTTAACATCATGAAAAATTTTTAATAAAACGTCATAATTCAAAAAGGGTTTTTTAAGAATTATAAAACAAAAATAATTAAAATGACATTTGATTATGTTGCTAATATATTTTTTATTATTTTATTAATCAATTATTTTCTGTCGAGTTAAGTAAAAAATAGTTTTTCACTTTTTCTGCAGAAAAATAATCTTATAATCTTTAAAATTAAGTATGTGTATATTAATTAATTATGTGATTTTTAAAGTAAGGGAACGATATATGTATTAGTCACGGAAATAGACATATAACATTGATAAAAAATTATCTGTGATAATAATAATCTCATTTTTAGACCGTACATGTGAGAACACAATCGATAAACTAGAACCCTATATCGGTCGAAGCTAGATTTTAAAATGCTTAAATAATTCTTGAATCACTAAATATGCTATATATGTACTTGACATATATACCACACCTGTAGTCTAACAAACTGCGCGCCGAAGAATTTCCGGAACGCAATTAAACCATTGCAGTAATCTCGCGAATTAAATTAATTTCTAATAATTTCGACTCTCTCAAACAGGCATCAGATTTCAAAGATGTTAATATGTTGAAAAAACTTAACTAAATTTAATGAGAAAAATATTACCTCGGCCAGGAGTCGAACCCGAGGTAATATTTTTCTCATTAAATTTAGTTAAGTTTTTTCAACATATTAACATCTTTGAAATCTGATGCCTGTTTGAGAGAGTCGAAATTATTAGAAATTAATTTAATTCGCGAGATTACTGCAATGGTTTAATTGCGTTCCGGAAATTCTTCGGCGCGCAGTTTGTTAGACTACAGGTGAATTCCGAAAATTTTTCGGCGCGCAGTTTGTTAGACTACAGGTGTGGTATATATGTCAAGTACATATATGGCATATTTAGTGATTCAAGATTGAATTATTTAAGCATTTTAATATCTATGATAAGTTTAAATATTGAAAATCTTCAAGTACTCATCATATTATTGCGTGCTACATAAAAAAAATTATAATATCTTTTAAATTATTTTAAATAGAATATCTTCAATCAATGATTTAAATTTTATTTTATATTTTTATTAGAACTATTATGATTATAGATGATCGTTCTTGAAATAACCCTTCATGTAGAAATAATTCATTGTACGTATTCGGAATATTTCACGCTGAAAATTCATGCGTGTTTTATGCAACACAGCAAGGAATTAATATATGAATCGCATATATCTCTTGGAAGCTGTCAACATTTTGAATTCGAAATAAGATATTCTTTATAAAGCTTGATGAAAGCAGAACTACAATCTTATATGCTTTAAAGATGGTTGAGAGAGAGTGAAGAATATTCGAAGGATTCTAGTTTTTGTAATATACAAGCGGATCATATGTAAATATAAATTTTGTCGATGTAAGAAAAAGGTAAACATACCGTATGTTGTATTTGCATTAACTCATTTTCGATTGCGAATCGATTCCGAATATTTTAATTATTAGAACATCAAACTGCACTTCCATAGAACTAACAAGTTTGTGTTTTCTCAACTTCGTTCGCGATAAAACGTGATCTGGTTTTAGTCTGGTTTGTTTACTTTTCTTTCAAAGTTATAATATGCCTTAAATATATCACGATTCGTAGTATAATATACATATAGATAAGAATTCATAGCATAGATAAGGGAGAGTAAGGAGGAAGAGAACACTCGGTAAAGATAACGTGTGTGTTATATGAAAAGAATATTTTTTTCAGAACCTTGCATCTCTCTGCTTCTTCGATATTTGATAGACTTTGCGTCGAAATATTGAAACGTTCAAAAAAAAACTTTCAAAAGTTAGATATGTCTGCTTCAAAATATACGTAGCATTCTGAATGTTTATAATCGGATCTTCCAATATGAGAAATCTATTTTTCGCACTCTTCGTTCTATCAAAGTCGGCTTTCCTCACCGTTATTCCCTCTGCTAAAGTTTTCAAGTTATACGAAACGCACTGATATTAGTGTTTAAAGTACCGAAAGTCTGCCGTAAAATGTTGAAACAAGTATATGCATTTCTGTTCGTCCGTGCATCTACACGATGGAAATTTCTGTGCCACAAAATCCATCAGACTTATTTTCTTCGAAGCTCCGCGTAAGGCTTTATTCTTTAAGGTAGTCGAAATATGCATTCCACACAGTGACTAACTAGAGCGAGATTTATCGACATTTACTACAGTTTAATCATAGTGAGTGTTCACCATGCTTCCATGTTTCTTTTCTTCATCTTTCCCTTCTATTATTTGTAGTTACAGATTGCTTGCTTTCCTTCGTGATTGCCGTCTAAATTTGCACGTGGGAATTATTCCACGAATCAGCTGACGCGTTCATACAAATTCGTAGAAATAATCGGAAATAGACATTTTAGTATTGTAACTGTAATTATTATTATGAGCTTACAAGTTTTAATTATATCTATTATATATAATTATTAAATATTATAAAATTTTATTAAAATTCATGATTTTTACGTATTATTATTAAATATTATGTGAGTTCTTAGTAAGTATAAGTCATTATAAACATAAAGTCTTAAGATAAAATATCAGTATCAAATCAAATTTCTATCATGGAAAAACTTATAAAGAGTTAATTAAACAATATGTAAATATGAAAGAATATGAAGAGAACAAGAAATGTATGTACCCTGCAGTAGGTATATCTTCGCAATCGTAAATTAGCGAGTTATTCCGTGAAAAGCATGCAATTGTTCGTATCATTTGTTAGTTTGCCAGTGGAACGCCGTGAGCCATTTATTCAGCTTAATTCGCGTCATCTCGCATAACATCCAGAGGAACCTGGCAGTGAAAGCTCTAATTTAGCTTTCTTCGGGAACGCGAGCTCTTCGACGAAGTTTCTCCACTGAAGTGTCATCGCGATTTCCGTATGGCGTCGTGTGTGCCATAACGCATCATAATACATGGCATCAATGTCGCAAACTTTTCTGACGCTATAGCATATCATTCTTCCTTTTCCTATCTCCTTCCTACATTCTAGCTGTTCTCAGACAAACAGTTACACACTCAACTAAATTCCATAGAGTCTACATACGTGAATTCTCCGAGTGCATGTTTGGCTGCAATTGGTTTGTATCGAAAAAAAACTCGCTATCGAGAACGCGGTTCTTGTAACTTTTTTCCGATATAATATCAATTCGGAAAATGGAATCGTGAATATTCTACCTACGGTTGCGAGCATCCAGCGTGGTCCTGGCAATGTGATGCGGTACATGGAGATACTCCCCGCGAGCCTGACGTCCTGCTTCCGTCAAATTTTCCCGACTGGTGCTTCGTAAACGCAAAAGACGATCGTCCCTCAATAGCTGCGATAAGAAATATAGAGGATGTCTCAAAATAAGCAAAACGAGTAGTAGATCTAGTTATTATTTCGAAGCTCGTATATTTTAAACTAAATACAAATAAAGATTTTATTAATATCTCTTGCTATAAAAAGTTGATCTTTTTAAAATTTAAATTTGTTTATTTTGTTATTAAAATTTGACTTGTCATTCTGAAACTGTCAGTACGAACAATATAAGAATAGAGTTACTTATATGGAGAGTAAAGAATGGATCGATATTGTGTCAGCGGTGAATGAATTGTTTAAACTAGCGAGTTTAATATTTTTCGCGAAATAGCGAAATTATTTAAAACAATGTAAAAGCAGTGTGATTTTAAGAAATAAATAAAATTGTGTATTTTTTTATAGTTTTTTTTACTAATACGAATTTTTATTAATAAAAAATCGAGGTAAATGTCTATTTTGGAAAAATTGAATAAATGATAAATTGAGATGGGAAAATGGAAATGGCGTGAGAAAAATACTACTATTACCATGTAACGTAGTTCTATTCATTCAATGACGATGAGAGAAAGGTGCATTTGAATTTGGAAGTGTACTACTTACGTATACATACGATAAAGCGTGTAAGCTTCGTGATTAATAAAACATAAAGAGGAAAACGGCAAAAGTTTCCGCTGTACATTCTACTGCAAACAATCAATTTAAACAATCATTTTCTTAATTTAATATTATTAATATTGATAAACTGATAAATAATATGGAAATTGTATTAAAATATAAAATATAAAATAAAAATATAAAAATTATGTCAAAATATAAAATGTAAAAGTTGCGATTACTATAAAGTTCATATAATTACAGTAATTAAAAGTATAATTAAATTGTAGAGGAATATAAAATAAGCATATGAAAAAATGCGACGTATTAGAATAGAAGTAAATGTAAAAAATTTTAATTCCGTCATGCATAAATTTCAAATGAAATAGAGAGTGAGAGAGAGAGAGAGAGAAAGAGAGAAGGAGGGAGAAGGAGAAGTTTTAATTAAAATTCCGAGAGATAATGGAAAATAAATATCGTTATATAGTTCTTAGATTATGCAAATATTAATCACTATAATTTTAATTGTTTACAAATGCATTTTATTCATCCATACTTATTGAACTATTTTCATTATTTAATTCATATAAATAAAATAGAGTATTATAATGAAAATATTACCGCGAATCGAATCGTTTATCCTGAGCGAACCTTGGAATGCGATTAGACTGAACGAACGTCAATCGTAAAGTTTATTCACCCGTTCTATCCGTAGATCCAGGCGAATCCCCGAAGAGTCAATGACAGCACAAAGAGAACGATCTGGACCCGAGCATGCTCTCACCGCACCTTCCAAGTCTCGCCGTATCTTGTTCGTTTCCCTACTCAATTCCAATCCGAGTTCGTAAGCTCTCTCACTCTCCCTGAGCAAAGATTCGGTTTTGGCAGATAATTCTTGCGTCGCTGAAACATACGATACGATACCATTGATACAGTCCGTATTCACTGTTCTTACTTTTGGTCTAGCACCTTTAGAAACTAATGCAGAAATCATCTAACAATAAGTTTACTGTATGAAAATTGAACTCACTTGGATTGCATGTATTTATTATAGAATTGAGTATCACTAGCACTGACACTTATTGATTGCAGAATGTTTGTTTCTCAACAAGATGTTAGAAAACTTTGAATATGATCCTGAAAGGTGCAAACTCTAGACCGCTAATGTAAATCTCTCTTCGTAATTTAATAACTATCTACATTTATCTTCGTCTACGTCTGATAATAACTCAGATCGATGGACTTAATAATCTTAGGACAAACTTTCGACATACTGGGTGCTTGAGTAAGCTATCAAACTATTAGTCGACAACCGAAAGTAATAACGCGCGGTATAACGAAGCAATTTATAAGAGGCCGCTATTCGCCATTTACGTATTAGACTTTGTCTGCACTGATGAGAAATACACGATAGCGATATCACGTTTCCGAGCACTTGCCACTGTAACAGGTTTTCGTTACTTGAATTAATACGCTACGAACGCACACCGTCAAGGAAAGCAACCCTCGAGTCATGCCCCGTGGCTATACTTTAGACGAAGTATACGGCGTGTACTACAAATCAGCACACCGACTTCAACTTTTTCTTCTTTGCGCAATATTGCAATGATATTTTATCATTGCAATATTGCGCAAAGAAAAAAAGTTGAAGAAATCGTAATAATAAAAAATTATTGACATACTAACTATATGTATTTATTATATTATGTACATATATCGCGGCACTAATTAGTAATTATACATTAGGAAAAATGCTAGTATCTAAAAATTTAGTTAAACAGAGTAGATTCAGATCTGAAGATAATTTTGTTAGATCATCAAGATGTATAGGACGGCTAAGCTGCTCAGGATCCCTATTCTTGAAAAGTATTGCATACGTAAAATTAGAGAAATATCATAGTATACGTTACGTATACTATAGTATGGTCCAATAAAATTATTTTCAAATATGTATCCAGCTAAATTTTTATATATTCTGTAAAATCGTTCTTCTCATAGGAAATGAATGTAACTTAATAATAACAGTTCAAACTGTAAAGTCTGTATAAACTTCACTTGTACACACAAAGTTAAAATTTTGTCTAATTAAAACTTTTTAGCGCGGGTGTGTATGACTTTACTTTTATTATTTACGTTAGCTTAATATCGGCAGTCTATTATTTACTTGAACTTTTACTTCGTAGAGATTCATATATATTACCAAGTATCCAACTATATTAAAGCCACATAACTTTTGTACTTCTTAATAGCATGGATAAGCTATACATACTCTGTTGATTGAAATAAATCTTCCGCAGAAGAAAACACGTTCAATTTATTTTGAGAAACAGTTTACTCTCCCACGGCTTTCATTAACAATTCTTGTAAGTAAACCGCGTATTACGAGTTTATTTCAGAACACCCGGTACAGAGCACTAAGTACAGCGTGTAAATATGATACACGTGTAGTGATTAGGCGAGGAGTTGCTCGAAAGGAGATAGCAAGAGCGAGAGGCTCGTAGTTGCGGTAGTACCTGCTAATTTAGTTAGTGCACTGTTAGTAACTTAGTACCGTGACTAAGTGACACTTCAGGCCGAGAAGGTCACTTAACGGCGGCGAATTCATTTGAAGATCGAATAACGTTACCAGAAACAATCTGAACCAACCGTAACGTCTAGTAAATTGGCGGTTCCTGAAAGTAACATGTTACATTTACGTATATGTTGCACAAACGTCTTAATTACACGCGCTCGATTAATTAAACGGTATCAGACATGCAATATCGTTGAATTAAATATACAAGCATAGCGCAAACGAACTTAGTGTAAAGAAATGCGTTAAATTAGAAGTGATTGGTATCTCTTTCATTCCTACAAAAGTCATCTATTTCAAATTAATAAAATTTTAATGAACGTGACTTAATATGCGCGATATATTCCGTCAAAACATGTAATTTTGAGTGATGAATAAATGGTGCGATGAATGAATGAATGATCGCATGATGCACTGCAGAATCCGATGAAACCACGGAAGTCGTCAAATTTATTATGACCGCGCGCGCAGTTCGTGAAGCAATGAATGAATGGCGCAGTCGCTCTTCCACACAGAACGTATAATTTGACGTATGAATATTATACGTAGAACGTGAGTACGTTGTGTAGGTATTACGATTACAAATATGCAAACATTTCGGAGTACAGCCATCTTGCCACTTTAACAAATATTAGTATGGAATATTCTCGGCGATATCCGTACCGGATATAGCAACCGGAATCACAAAGGGCGCTAATTTCCCATGTTGTAGAATTTGGTAATAACTAAAAGAATGTCTATCTATATATTTAGTAAGACTCAAACTTTCAGCTGCAAAATAAAAAATCCTAATGATTTTTCGCGGCTATATATCCAATAGATTATCGGGAACTAGATAAATTTTACGCAAAATGCATTCCTATGCTTTTAAAAATTATTATGCAATTAACTTTTACAGGATAGGAAAGCCATTACTCACACAGACAACAAACATTGTCTAGAAGATCTCTTTATAATGTCTTTTAGATATCTTTTAGACACGTATGATGTCTAAAAGAATGATGACTTCGTGATGTCTTTATGACATGCATTTTGAACATATTGCATGTTATTTAGGTAAGTGGCGATGAAACAGTGTCATATTTTTAGACAAGAAATAATATAATGAATTATAACAATCTTACTCAAGGAAAAATTTAAGATTTCAATAATAGACTCTTATCCTCTCTAAGGATTAATTACAGAAGTTATATCTAGAAATTAGCGAGTTAACTGAAGAAACTGCGCTTGACGTTATGATTTTGACATTATATCAAAGTTTGCTTTCTATCTTTTTCTATAAAAAAATATTTTTATTATATTTTTTACCATTTCCCAGGTCAACGAGCGCATCCAGTGCCACGTCAAGTCCAGTCTCGGCAGAGAGCTCGACCTGCACAGGTTTGCCCAATAATTCCTCGACATCTGTAAAACACGAGCAAAATATGCGTCGTTTACCTTTAGTCTCAACAGATGTTCCATTAACATACAAATATTGCGCATGCATATACAAAGGACGGATCATGTCACAAGCATAAGCCATTTAATATTCCGCAGACACTCCTGGTAATATATTCGCTCTATCAAAAAATTTCCTGCCGATCACAGTTTAAAGGCTCGACAAACGTATGAAATTATTAGAATATCGAACGAGAGTATAAAGAGTAGAGTGATGGGATGAACGTTAAAAATGGATTGTGATCGCCTCGAGCTAACGAACACACGACATCCATGTAGTATATAAACGCGAGCGACATTGTAAATCCCGTCACGTCGGTGCGTGGCAGTAATAATTTATCCGCCCTGTATCCGTGTCGGTTATCGCAATCTGATAGGAATTTTGAACCAGTGCAGGTGGTTTGATAATATAGGCCTTTGACGATAACATAAAATCTCTGATAACTATTATATTTCCATTTCTTTTACAAGAGATTCACATTGGAGTTTCTGGTAAAGACAGATAGCAGAAAATCGATATCCGGTGTAAACGCTGCGGGTTGTACCCAGTCAATACTTTGGAATCTTGAGTTCAGTTTGCAGTATCGATCGCTGGGGGAGGGGAAGGGGTGTGATTGGTCTTATGATATATGTTCTCAATATATGGACTTTGAAAGAAACGATGTAGTCACGTTGTCGATAAACTGTATCGTTGTCGTTCCACTTGGCGCACGGTACGTGATCAGAAATTGAGACGGGTCGGCGATGTGTATGCGCGGGCTTTATATTGACCAACTTGCATAATGCCCGTGGTTGCATTGCACTAACGAGCTCAATTTGCCAGAGGTTGTTAACGTGTCAGTGGCGATGGACCCATTACGCGACGATTATAGACTGTCAATAGCTTTCATTAGACACCTATGCGTCTCACTAGTCGTGAGAAATATCATTAGACGACAGTGCCGGACATCAACACCTCATCGCGCTAATTCATGCGTTTGGCCCATATAGTCAGAATTGCTGAAGCGAAATCCCATCGTGAAATCACCAGGAAAGAAATTTCTGTTCTATTTTAAAGCAAATAAGCTCAGTACGAGGCGCGTAATGAGTTAATGGTTCGAATGTGCCTTATATTCTGTTCCATATCACGGGCAAAGTATTATTCGATATAACTCACCGTTTGTAAATAAAAGGTACCCCATCGTCGCATTTATGCATTTCATAAATAAAGGCGCAAAAGATTTATAGTCTTCCTGTCAGACATGGAAATTAAAGCACTTTGTTTTTCAAATAAAGTAAAATGGAAACGATGCAGTCCTAAAAGTACGAAAAAAAAATGCAGTTTGTGTCTAATGGTGTTCTCTCTTTCCAAGATAGAATTATTCTAATTATCGAGATGAGATGCTTCCTTATCGCTTATGAATTTTTCTCACGCACTCGTCGCCACGAATGCAAGCCAAATCAACAATATCGTTATACTTAAATCGTTATACATTAACAAATGATTTTATCATGCGTGCAAGTGAAATGAATACAAAGCATAAAATATTACAAACAGCCACACAACCTGCGAAAGAGCGATTAAAAATGTTTCACCCTGCTAGCGATTGCATCAAATGTATATAGATATATCGTAAATGTAAAAATGTTATATAATTCACAAGCGTTACACACCATTTAACTAAAAATATTTCTGGTTACGGCATATGACAAGAAATTACCTTGTGTCCGTGACTATCCTGATATCATATAAAATGAATAAAAATAATCAAACTGAATAAAAGCTTTTGAAAATGTTAACATAATTTCATATTTGAATCTTTTGTTGGAATTCATAGATCATAAATAAAAAAATATGATATTGTTCCTCATTATTCTCATACTGCTGCGTATTGATCTATGTTTCAAAAATATTACAGTACTCTCTCTCTAAATTTCTCGGAGTGAAATCTCACTCTAAAAGAGTTAAAATACTGTCACCATTGAAAAAGAGTGAAAAATTTGCACTCTTGAATAAGAGTGGCAATTTTCACTCTTTTGTTTTTGGAGTGAGATTCATTCCAAAAGAAAGATATCTCACTTTTTTTTTGGAATGAATCTTACTCCAACAGTATGAAATCTTACTCCCAAAAAAAGAATGAAAATCTGCCACTCTTATTCAAGAGTGTAAATTTTTCACTTTTTTTAAATAGTGGCAATATTTTAATTCTTTTAGAGTGAGATTTTATTCCAAGAAATTTAGAAAGTATTATTTAATTTTCAATATATAATTACTTAATAATTTTTATTTTTAATAAAAAAAAGGTATTAAAGTTTAGTTTTAAAATTTTTATTAAAATTATAATAAAATTTATCATGTTTAAATATTAATTTTACAAGCGTCTCTTTTATATTGATCGAACAAGCAGGCTCAAACATTTACCGCACTGCTAAATTGTTGAATTATATTAAATATTTTCCGATCACATATTTATGGTCAAGTTTACGCATGAGAAAATCGATTAAATTGTCTAAGTGACTATAACGTTAAATGTGAATCTATAGCTAGATGTTGCGGTGGAATTAGCTAATTTGCGGTTTTGTTCAAGAATCAAGAGCAGAGAGTCACAATCGAATGCTTGTTGCATCAAAATAGTTGAGCAATCAAACCACAAGCGGTTCTCCGCTTTCCGTACTTCCTTCGGATATTAGTTAATCAGTTGCGAGTTGCATTTCTGATCACTATTAGTAATAATAAAAACTTCTTTTCTCTCTCTTGGTAGAAAGAAAGAATTTTTTCACAAGCGCAGAAGTGTACATGATATTATATTTATTAAAAATGCATAAATATTTTATAAAAATATCTATTTTTCAATCTCATTTTTTAAGCCTTTGTATTATATTATAGTGTTTAATAAAAATCTTGCATTATATGATTTCTGCCCAATTTTAACGTTTCTTTCTTATTTTTTGCTTGTTCGCACTATATTTCTTACACGTCGGTTATAATGAGTGAAAACAGAAAGTCTAAAAGAACCAGCATTTAAGACGAGCGCAATTACAGTAACTGGGTTACGTACGTGTAACACACGCCAACAGGAAAAAAGCATTCGGTAAGCACCTCAGGCGTCAGTGCATGTTGTCTTCATTACACACACACATATATATATGATAATACGCTCTTTTTGCCTGGAGCACTTTCCGTGCTCAGTGTCTTAATATCGATTAAAAAGAAAATTTCACTCACTGTCCAGATCCGCGAGGATAGCTTCGCTAGCCACGTCCAAACTTCTCGTGAGGCACTTTCGCAACTGTGATGTGGTGTCCGCGTGGTAGTCCTTTAAATCCTGTAATGCCGTCTCTACTGTCATAGGGAGCTTCTCGATCCCGACCGCCACCACCTCGTTGCATATTATCATTGTCACCATGCAAGACCTGAAGCAACGCACCAAAGATTATGAATAAAGTAGCGAGTGCTTGCTTTAGGTAAAAGGTTTTCCAACGTCATAGTAAGACGAATAGCTGTCTATTTAAACCTCCTATCTCTCTTCCACTTAACTTCATTTATTTTCGCTCCCATATTGCTCTAATATTATATAATAGCTACTTAAACGTAAATTTATTATAATATAATTTTTATTTTAATTAACACATTTATATACTGTGTATATATTATTTAGTACCGGGTAAATATACACTTCAATTTTCTATCACTACTAAAAATTATTAAAAATAAGACAAAAACTGTGGTTTATATCTAGTAAAGATCTTCCGTATTAATTTTGAAATAATAAAATATTTTCATAATCATGGAAATTTCACCATCGCGACGATTACGTACTCACGAAGTGTAATCAACAAGGGCAGAAGTATCAAGGAACACGAGTAGGGTTGGAAGTGAAGGTAATAAGTTTTGGGAGCGTCGTCTAAGAACAGAGAATCGTCATAGATCCTACCCGAGTATAAAGACGAGAATGGTGAGGAGAAATGCGAGAACACTCGGATGCCGAGAAGGTTTGTAATCCTCTCTGATTGGACGACAGGCGAGCCAAAGTTCCATGCCAGGTATTATGCAGGCCAATACGCAGCACATGCCTACTAAGACCAGAAAAGCTGCTTCCACGTGCATAGACTGTAAAAGTAAGATTAGGACAATGCGTTTGAGAAACTTAACAGAAGTATTTATGTGACGTTAGATCGTGAAAATTATGTATCGTGTACGTCGCACGTTATAGGATATTCTCTTCGCAGAAACGCTCTCGGAAATATCAAGGATTCCGTTGCAAGGATCTAATAAAGACATGCGCTTTCTTTAATGATCCACTTCATCATTCACCGGAAGTTAAATATTTTTAATTTCTCAGCGTGATTTCGCCTTACCTCTGAAATCAATTTACTGGTGTTTATGCGATTTTCCACGGCGTCCACTAGTAGATCTGTAACGAGCACGATGAATTATAATCACTATGCATCGCTAATTGGAAGAAAGGCGGTAATAGTACGATAGTAGTCAAGAAATCTATTAAATTACTTGCTGGATAGAGAGCTATAATTAAATGGTAGATAAATTAATAGTCAGATAAAAACACTAAGAATAAATTCTCACGTCGATAATATGTTATAATATAATATTTAAAAAATAAAAAAATTCTGTTTCTTTTACACGAATATATGTATATATACTATGCTAATAATCGATATCTTTTTATATAAATATCGTACTCCATATAGGTAAAAAATGTCTTTTAACTGCGATTTGCAGTCATTTATAAAACTTAATCAATCATATAGAATTGAGAGTAATGAACGTTCGGGTATTTGAACGAAGAGACATTTGAACGAACAAACATTCAAATGCACGAATCGTATTTTGTAACATTTTACACGTGTGAAATGTCGCTCCATTTTTTCTAATTGAAACTTGCGTATGAATTATTAATACGGCTTGGCGTCTCATAAAATGTTGAAAATCGATCCCAAAACGAATTTATCGAAACGCATGTATTTTAACAGTTTACAAGCTTACTAAAAGAGATTTTGCGAAAACCATTTACGATTGCCATTAATCTTACCGGTCGGTATGTCGTAAGGTTGTACGAAGGACAAGAAGCCTCTGAGGTAATCGAAAGCGAACCATCCCTTATCGAGATGTAAACTCGTCATCTTGTAACGCTCCTTCGTAGTGAATTTCAGAAACTTTAGCCTTGGCTTCTCATCCCAGTCTTTGGGTAAGGTCAACGTTCTCGGATGCGACACATTCGAGTTGTTCTTCGTACTGTCTACGAGCACATCCGCCGCCATCATGTCCATCTCGCTCTCTCGTGCCTCGTTTGGAAAACAAAGAATGAGAAAGCTGTCGGTGGTCGAACAATTGTTATTGCTCGGGGTCGAATCAGTTGAGACCAATTCTTGAAGCGTGTGCGCCCTCGAGGTTACGATGAGTAGAAGGAATACTAGAAATTTTAGAGAAGCGGAGCTTATACGATGTTGTCGCCTTATCGTTCGCGCGCGAATCAGAATAATGAAAAATCTATTGAACTTTCATAATTAATAAACTGTGGAAATTATTATTTTAACATTGTATTAGAATTTTATAGAAAAATTTATATTATTATCTCTTTAGACATTTTCACGAATTTACGTGATTTTGTGTGCTTCCTCATTTCTTTATTAATATTTTTCCACGATATACGTTTGAAAATTGCACTGTTTTAAGTTGCGTTTAAGTGGCAGTAAAATTGAAATTCCAACTAACGTTCTCTCTCTGGATATCGCTTTACGTTTCACTTAAATCTTAAAGCGTACACGCGCAGAAAGTACAGCTTTTCTGACGTATATAAAAATTTAGCTAGATCTGAAAATAATTTTGCTGAACTATTAGAATAATTATGTAGGGCATTAAAGCGGGTTAATCTCAATCAAAACTTTTTGCAGCATTACTTATTATATTTAAATTTCTTTCATAATTATTTTGATAGTTCATCAAAATTATTTTCGAATTTGTATTTACCTAAATTTTTTAATTTTTCAGCAAAACCGTTCCTTCCATATAACACTGTTAGACGATATTTTTAAAAGAATCTGTGTGTTTAAAAAAAGTATAGCGTTAAATGTGTTGTTTTTATTATTTGATAGTTAAATCGTAACTAAAATTGATTGCGTTTCAAGAACCTTGTCTAACATTGCTTTGTCTGATATTCTGATATTATCGCTGTAGGAATTTATCATTTTAGTGTCACTTAATTTGTGACAAATTGAATTTCCTCGTTGTAGTAATTTCCTTCTAATATTTGGCAAATCCTTCTAATATTCGGCGAATTCATTACCGATAGTGGTATTCGAAATGAGATGGAGATTATTTAAATGTCATAATTGAAGATTACACAGCACAAGCAGAAGAGCTTTGAATCCTTATGAAATACAGTATTTCAAATACTACAATCTCTGTCGACACGAAGTTCAAAATAGAATGTTGCTTCTTCTATTTGCGCTCCTTTACGTCGAACCTTCTTGAGAATGATAATTTCGAAGCGTTTCAACAAAGAACGACACGGTATCATCGCGAAAATTAGACCCGTATTTTGCACAACGTGAAATCAAGATATAAAGTGATCATGCCTTGGATTACTGTCATTTTCCGCTCGCCGATTTCCAACGTTTTTCTCCATATGATAATCGGCACTAATAATGGTTACGTCTTTATTGAATCGCAGTTGCAGGTAGACTGTCATTTTCAGTATTTGTAGAGGCTTCTGCGAAACCCCGCAAGTGGTATTGTGATGTTGTCGAACCCTACGGAGACAATAAGTTACATTGGGGATTGACCAAGCAAGAAAAATGGTGTCATGCAATATACTATAAGATTAAGAAATGGTGCAAAATCGCAGTTGGATCATGCAAAATAAAAGATGTAGATAAAAAAACAAGTTATAAAAACAAATTATAATAACACAATGTGTATTGTAGTAATATAAACAATATTTATATTTTAAGTAAATTTGGAAATAACTAAGCAAAATAAATTAATTAATAAACCAAATTAATTTGTCGATAGCCTGTAATATATTGAATGACTTGTTGAAACATTTATGTACCGAAAAATGTTTTGCAACATTTGTATTTCTATTAAATTAAGCACGTAATTGCTGACTCAGGTACCAACATTGCTCTCACATGTAATAAATAAATTCCGAATATTAAATAACAATAGTAGATAATAAATGAAAATTAATTTTTACTTAATTCTTGATACGTAACAATGATTATATGATCTTAATTTTCTCATTTAATGTGAGCCTGTATTATTTATTATTTGATATAAAATTTACAGGGATGTTAACGTTCTATTAGTCATAGATATATTTTTATGCGGCGTATGTAGTTTATGGGAATATTAATGTACTGTTGATCACGGAGTTATATCATTCCTGGTCAAAAACAGTTCTGCTCAAAAACAGCCTGGAAACAGTTCGGAACATTGCAGTTCTGTCGAACGAAAAGTTAGTGAAATATATCAATAAAGTTTTTACTTCTGCAATTTGTTACAAAAGTTAGCTAATGGGAAAAATTAATGAGGCTACTATTTCAATTCGAAAATGTAGACTAATAAAGTGTCGTAAAACATATTTTTATATATGTACATCTCTCAAATGGTTTTATTTGCTTTTCTTTATTCTTATTTATATTTATTAATGAAAAAGCCAATTAAAAAAAAATAATATAATTAAATTCTTTGCGCAAGTTTTTTGCCGCAGTTCATGATCTTGACGTCCTCGCTACATACAATACTTATGAAGGAAAAGAGACAAATACTAGCTTACAGTATAAGCTCGACTACATCGTCGATAATCCTTTGGAGAACAGGGATCAAGTGAATATAATGCGATTTATTGTTCACTTTTTATTAACAAAATCTTCGAGTTAAAGTTAAAATGCAATTCTAAATTAAATGATGGTAACGAACTTAAATAGAAATTTCTTATCAAACACCAATTCATTATAATTCATCGAATCTGTCTACCGACTACTGACGGATATTATGTCCGCGGAATGTTCTCGCGGAATTACTTAGAAAGTATTCCGAGGGTACGTTGTAGAATGTACTAACGACTGGAATTTTAACCGACGTCTGTCCACTTTGTGCCTTATTAAATAGCGCTGTGAGGTTCACGTGGGAGACTTTGCTGTATATAATGTACACACATATATATATATATATACACATATATATATACACACATATATATATATAACAAAAGACATGGTCAGAAGTATTTAAAAATAAGTTAAAAAATAACTTCTTTATTAGTCTTTTTTTTCTATATTAAACATAATTCTGTAAATCCCGTCTAAAAACTTTAGAGACATTCTGACTTCAATTTACCTACTTATATATTATAAAAGTTATTAAACTTTATAAACCTATACTTGCATACAGAATGTATAAGATGAAGTGAGAAATGTTAATTCAACAGACAGTGTTCTAATAACGTGTAAAGTTTTACGTACTCACAAAATCTTTTTTCATGAACTTCGAGATATTTGCAATGTTTCTCTCTCGGCACAGCGTTAAACCTTATGCGCGACTAAATTGCAAATTGTAACATAAAAATAAATATCGTGCAGATATTGTGGTAAAATATTTACAAACATCGTGCTACAAATAATATATTTTGTGAAACATTTTACAATCGTAAAAGTAATGTGATTAAGGCAATGATAATGTATTATTTGAAGCGCTGTTGCGTGCATCTATTTAAAATATTTTTCTTTCGCGACATCTAAATCACTGCGTAATTTGATTCCATTTTTTCGTCCGATAACTCCCGTTTCTGTGCGGATAGGCTTGTAGGTACGAACCGAAGATTCGAACTATCTGCAGTTACTCCTAATACGTGGTACCAGAATTGGGTTGACTTTTTGGTAGCAGCGGTGCCCAACCACGGCTAAATCTTCTCGCGAACCAAGTGCGAGATTACTTTTCACCGATGGTGAATGACTGGGTACTTGGCGCTAGACATCTTTCATCAATGAATAGACGTCTCTTTCACTCTTACATGAAGGTGTACTCGGTCCCTTAATTGGCTGAACTGTAATTCCCGTTCTATTTCTCAATGCAATTCTCCCCCAAACACGGCTAATTGCATGATACGGCTGTGAGTAAATACTTACACGTCTGTAAATGTATGTACTATGTCGTGGCTAAATTCAATATAACTAGAAAACATTTCCAACCGACTAAGTTAATAGAAATGACGAAATTTTTGTGTATAATTTTTGTCTATAATATCACAGGAAAACGATTTTCAATCCTGTATAGTTTATTGCATGCTCTCTACAAATCTTTATTATTATAATATTATATAATATTTATAAGGTGTAAGTATAATATTTTAGATGATTAGCTATAAATGTACCCTTTTGTTTTATGATCACATAATTACATTGCATAAATGATGTAATTTTATTGTGATAACAATTAATTTTCATTTTTTAAGATATATTTTTTCAATGCTATATAATTTATTTGCATGCTGTCTATAGATTCTTATTATTATAATATCTATATAATATTTTATTTTATATGCAATATTTTAAATACCATTGGTATAAGTATATTTTTGTTTTATGTTTGTACAAATTGCATCGTAAATAACATAACTTTATTATGATAACAGTAAATGTTCATATTTTTTTGAGGATATCTAGAAACTTTTACATGAAACACAGTACGCAAAGCATGATATATAAGAGACATTTAAAACGACTCGCGTTATTGCATGTAACGTGGTCAGAAATGTATAGTATTATAGTGTTGGCTAAGCGAAGTAAATAACAAGAGTAATTATTAATGAGCATTGCTGTATGTTATTGTGATAAGTGATTTGCAACTTCGTATAGAATTGGTATCAAGTATCAGCTATTATATGATTTATGATACTTTCATAAATCGTTGTCTATAATAACATAATCTTTAACGAAAGTGCGATGAGAAATGCTGGCAACTTTCCGAGATACTCGAGGAAACACAAATTGCAGATATCAAAGGAAAATATAGCGGCGGTACAAGTTAATTAATTGATTTTGCTGTAAGCACAAAAGGGGCTGCGCGGTCTAAACTAAGCTTCCATTCTAAATTATTGTTACAATTAAGAGTATAATTGCGATTTCAACTTACTTCCGAATATAAAGCCTGTACTTCATTATTTTTCAGGACAGATGAATGAAAATATATGTGACACGCGCGCAATTTACCTTTAGTATTCTTTAAATTAAATAAACACGAACTTTTGCGCAACTAT